CACGAATTTAAAAAGAGTTCGCCTACGAACTTGCTGAGCCAGTTACATCAATATTTAATACATCTTTGTCCTCTGGACTAGTACCTGTTTTATGGAAGGATTCTACCATCATACCCATTCCTAAAGCGAAACAAACCCAGGTTGAGAGCGATACCCGCCCCATCGCACTTACCCCTGTGTTATCGAAAGTACTCGAAGACTTTGTGGTTAGTTGGATGGTTGAGGACATAGGTGGACAAATCGATAATCGTCAGTATGGCAGCCTGAAGGGAACATCTACCACCCTTTGCCTTCTAGATCTTATCCACAACTGGCTTTCTAAAATGGACAACCCAGGTCATTACCTTAGAGCTTGCTTTCTGGACTTTAGCAAAGCTTTCGATAGAATAGACCACAATATTGTTATAACAAAATTGATTGATTTGGGAGTGCGCCGTTCAATAATCCCTTGGATTTGTAGCTTCCTTTCAAATCGCCGCCAGTGTGTTAAGCTGGGACAGTGCGTGTCCCGATGGCTTTCAACTAGTGCTGGGGTCCCACAGGGTACCAAATTGGGTCCAATCCTTTTTGTCATAATGATTAACGATTTGAAAATAGTATCCCCGCGTTCCAGTAATTGGAAGTACGTAGACGACGTGACGATATCTGAGATTGTTCCAACAAGGGAGGTATCTATACTACAAAACGAATTGGACGCAATTGGTAATTGGACAAGTACCAATAATATGAAATTGAACCCCCAAAAGTGTAAAGAGATGATTGTCTCCTTTCGACGAGATATTGAGCAGCCACCACCCACCTTAGTTGTTGAAACCATTAGTCTTGAAAGAATAGAATTCCACAAAGTATTAGGTTTAACGATCCAGAATAATCTGAAGTGGGATTTGCATATCAGTGAGATAGTAACCAAAGCATCAAAAAGACTACACATCTTACGAGTTCTCAAGCGCAGTGGAGTTTCACCGTTTCATTTACTACGAGTACATTTTGCACTTATTAGATCCCTGCTTGAGTACTGCTGTCCGGTATGGCATTCATCATTGACCATTAACTTGTCAGATAAAATTGAACGGGTCCAGAAGCGCACAATGCGAATAATCTACCCCACATTAAGCTATGACGCTGCTCTGGACCAAGCTAAATGTTCGACATTACGCGCAAGACGTGATGGTTTGTGCATAAAAACTTTTGACAAAATCAGACAGCCTGATTCACGCCTTAATCATTTAATACCACCTCCTCGGGCCAATGGACACAATTGTAATTTAAGGTACGGAAATAGATTAACACTGTTTCCTTGTAAGACGGAGCGCTTTAAGAAAAGCTTTTTTCCTACTATGTGTATTCAATCACATAATTTATAAATTTTGTAAATTTTGTAAATTTAAAAGTTCTTTCGATATTAATTCATAGATCAGTAAACTATTGTTGTAATATAATGCCAGTAACACAAGGTACTTTTTAATACTTTTAACTAAAGTTTGTAAATAATTTCGCAATTCGCTTTCATCGAGCGCGACGATTTTTATAATAAACCATTAATAATAATAATAATAATAATAAAATGAAGAAGTGCCTGTATACGTCCAAAATGGCAAAATCTATACGAATTGTGAAAAAAATTATTTCACCAAAGGTGGCGTAGGTCAACGAGTCTTAAAATAAGATGTTGAACTAACCCTCGACATCTGTACGACCTATGCACCTGGTCAAATGGTAACTACCTCACGAAATTCGTACGACTCGTTAAATTCGTGAAATTTTACGACGCGTGTCCACTCGCCACGCATAAGTGGTGGGTGACTTATGTCCTATGCACCTGGTCAAATGGCAAACCCTCACGAAATTCGCACGACTCATTAAATTCGTGAAATTTTACGACCCGTGTCCACTCGTGAAGAACGTTTCACGAGTGGTGGGTGACTTAAGTCCTATGCACCTGGTGAAATGGTAAAACCTCACGAAATCCGTACGACTCGTTAAATTTTACGACCTGTGTCCACTCGCGACGAACGTGTCACGAGTGGTGGATGATTTAAGTCCTATGCACCTGGTCAAATGGTAAAGCCTCACGAAATCCGTACGACTCGTTAAATTCGTGAAATTTTACGAGCTGTGACGACTCGCGACGAATTCAACTTGTAGGCATCATCAAGCTGTGTACGCATTTAAATTTTCATAATTTCTTCATTCCTTTTAGGTCCTTTAGCAATTTCGTGTACTGTGTTTTACAATGTTTGCATATATGCGTGTGTTAGGAAATAGCTAAAATCCGGCTGAAACTTCGCGTATATTCAAAATCAGATTTAAACGCTTATAGTGCCACATTTTAGTAACAATTTATACCCTATTTAAAGACAACTGAGCCATCTTGTTATCATAACTAAGCGCGTATATGTGACAATGAAATCAATATAGAGACGAATCTCACCACGAATCTCACTAGATTTTCATGAGCTCAAACGCAATAAAGGCCTTAATAGCAGAAAATATCAAACAAATTCACCCTATGCATTTAAAGTCCAACATATTTTATAAGGTAGCACGATTTTACAAGTTTTCGTAACGAACTGACTAAGATAAGAATGATTTTCCAACAACGATTCTCACTTTCTGTCCTAAAACAGCCATGCAATGAGATATACTGTAGATTTATTTACAGTTTTGTAGTAAGAATCGTTCAAAAACGAACTTAAAAAGGGATGTCTGCAAAGTTAACCGATTGTAATTAAGTAAGATGGTTTCTTGTACCAATATGGTCTAAAATGTAAGATATGTAAAATTTATCGTAACGCGGATCAGCGTTTTAGACCGAGAATCGTTAGTGAGCATCGTGTAATACATTATGAAACGTATGAAATTTGACGACTGGCGGCTTTATGAACTGTGCTATAAATCTTATACTGCAATTGAAATTTAGCTTGGAAATGGCCCCAGTTCTCAAGTATAAGTTTCTAAAAGGTGAAAAATGCATATTTATTTGTCTTTCCACGCAGTTTGATATTTGTGATCATGAGATGAGATTTAAACCTTGCTCGACTCACAAACCGATCATTTCTGAGTAATTATTTTCCTCGTAATTATGTCCTTTTGCATCATTCCAAGGACAGTATGTAACTTTTGAGTAAATTTCCGCGGATTTTTCAAAAGGAGGAGGAGAACGATGATGATATTAGACGTGAATATAAATGTGATTATTAATTAAGCATTATGGCTAGCAGCACACGTACCTGTATAAAGTGCTAGAAATAACCCCTCCCAGCCCCATGGAATGAATGGATAGAATCTAAAACTACCAAAACGTTGCCAACATATGCTTTGATACTGGAATGTATGTTATTGCGCGGTATAAACATAGAACTAAAACGTTTAATATTACCAAATTCCAAACACCATGATCCCGCTTTGTCAGGACAAGATGCAAGACGGGATTATTTTGATGTATTGAAATAAACTACGGTGCACGATTCAGCACAAAACTACATTATTTTCTAGAGATTGATTATAGTTAACTAACTGTAAACGAAATGTTGTTCAAGCAGCAATAACAATCTTCTTCAACTACAAGATCTTCTCTACAACATTTGAGTTCAGTTAACAAGCATTTGAACTTTCGTTTAGCCTAGTGACTTATTTCAATACATCAAAATCACCCCGCCTTGCAACATGTAAAACCCCCTATAAAGATGCCTGTTCAGGAGGTAGGAAAAGTGCAATTTGAATATCAAACACCTTGCACAAAATCAAAGGTCAGCTAAATATTCTACTTCTACTTTTCTCGCATGGGCGATTTTATATGAATACCTTCAGATCAATGCTTATAATTTGTTGCTTTTGTATATATAATTATAATGCTGTCTGTGGCGAAGCTAGTCATAGCAACAGGTCATGCTATGCAATTTTTTCAATTATTCAAATGATGCAGGTTTATTAGCATAGCATGACCAGTCTTCATGGCTAGCTTGCCATATATATATATATATATTATATATATATATAACTCTGAAGAAGGTTGCAGTTAGCAGCCGAAAATTCAGTACATATTTTTAACTTAGAACTTTTTAAATATTTTAACTAGACCAGATACAACTTCGAAAAACATGTCTTTTACTGGTCGCCTCAACAGCATATGCATGGTTTAATTAACTAATAAGTATACGTTATAAGCCAGCAGATCAGGCCCGTAACTAGGATTCTGAGACAACCGAGTCGACCACCGAATGTGCGAGCTGTCTAGAGGAGTCTGGGGGCATGCTCCCGCCGTCCAGAAAATTTTAGATATCTTGAAGCTCAGATAAGCTATTTCCAGCATTTTGAGGAGCTTTCCAACAAGAAATTAACCTTATAAACAGTGACACAATTAACTGCAATTTTACAGTCTCCCAAATGTAACCCAGTTCCAATAAGATGTGGTAATGAAAATGTGCGTGATATAGTATTATCATTCACCACACTTCAAATTCTATACAGTACTGCATTATATGTATTGAGGTACATGACATCGACGCATTCCTCTTCTAAGTGTCACTGAAGAGCAAGATAGGGTGGTCTCTTTGGAATCTTTTTGCTTGGAAAAACTAAACTATAGAATTTCGTCCTAAAATGCCATTCCATGCCTTTTTCTACGAGCAAATTATTTCAGCCATGCATGGTTTAGGTTTCTGGCGATGTTCAAATTACAGTCCCCAACTGATTCGGTTGACTCATAGCCGTAGTTACAGGGCTGCTGATGATGGTCAAATTCAGGAATGTTAACAACCTAACATCATTTTAATTTCTCACTTTGATATATATATATATATATATATATATATATATATATATATATATATATATATATATATATATATATATATATATATATATATATATATATATATATATATATATATATATATATATACCGGGTGTCCCAAAAAAAAGTACTTCGGTTTGATTTATAATAACTTTTAAACAAGTAAAGCTATCAAACAGTAATAACTTGCATTAAGTAGAGGAAGGACTAACTTAGATTTTGATATATTGCAGTTGTATTTTACTTAAAAATTCACGGAGATATTAATGTTCAAAATCGGGAGCATATTTTGGGATGTGTCTAAAATTAGCGAAAATCGGCATATCAAATATTAACTCCAGCGTTTGTTTGCTTAATGACATATCAGGCTAACTTGTATTTCAGCGAATTATCGTTAGGGTTTGTAAGAGATATGGCGTAGATTTAGACATCTTACATGTATGTCTTAACTCATTGTTTCCTGAAATATGAACTTTCGAAATTATGCAAGTATTTCATAGGTCTTTGCAAACTTAAAGGTACATGAAAGACCATGCAAGGCAGGCGCTTAAATTTTTCTTAAATAGCTTAATTTTTTATGTTTTTCATGGGTTCAAAACAAAGTTGATTATTTCTCGGTTAGAGCAGGATGAATATTATTCTTTAATGAAGGAAATAATATTGCTTTTTGCAAATACACATCACAGTATCAACGCTACTATTTTGTTACGTTTTGTTCCAAAAATGTTGGACGTCTCTGGGGAGTTGCTTGTTATGTCTTTACTTATGAAGCTGTATGCCTGGTTTGATTTTGTTTCATTCTCAGTTTATTCTGAACTTGCCAAGATTAAGAAAGGCAAAAGAGTTTGGGTGTTCTTAACAAGATTTCAGAACGTTGCAGAAGTTAGAAAATTCATTCAATGTGAAGTTAGAAAATTCACAATTCCATTGTGACAGCTAGCATGCCCTAATTCAGAACTACGAACGAACGAACCATGATGATCCTTCGTGATGCAGTGGTCTCATGAAATAAGGAAACGTATTCGTGCCAGGAACACACACGGATTTCGGACGAATAAATCTTGCTTGTATAATAATACTTTGTTTCATAATAAACAATTTGTCAAGTGTAATTTATTTACTGGTATAGTGCATGTTTCAGTCGGGCAAATCTTGATTAATATTTGATACGCCGTTTTTTGCATATTTCAGACACATCCAGAAATATGCTCCCGATTTTAAACACTAATATCTCCGTGAATTTTGAAGTGAAATACAACTGTAATATATCAAAATCTAAGTTAGTCATTCCTCTATTTGATGCAAGTTATTTCTCTTTAAAAGCTTTACTTGGTTAGAAGTTATTACGAATCAAACCGGAGTACTTTTTTTTGGGACACCCGGTAGTAATAACGAAGTATTAGAAATCTTACCAAGCGTTAAGTTGTTGGGCCTCACAACAATAAACAACTTGAAATGGAACAACCATGTAACTGAAATTATTAAGAAAGCTGCATACTGAATCAATTTTTTAATCCAGCTAAAGAGAACTAATGTTCCTTCTGTAGACCTTGCTCTATTTTATAAATCATGCATAAGATCTGTTGTGGATTATGCAGCGGCTACAATATCTCTTAGTCGATTTGGAACGTATACAGAAAAGAGCACTATCAATTATTTTCCCCTGTTATCGATATAAAGACGCGTGTAAAATTCTTAACTTGGATGATCTTGGAACCCATCACGACAAATTGTGTTCTAACCTGTTTGAAAACGTTCTCAAAGATCCGTATCATAAACTTTACGATCTTTTGCCTGAACGTTGCGAAAATACTAAATATAACTTACGGCACCCTAGGATGTTTGATTTGCCGAAATATCGAACTAATAGGTTCCAAGACACTTTTATCGTACAGAGTTGCATTAGGAAAAACGCAGAACTTTTAGATCATACTGACAGTTAGTTGTTTTTAAATTTAGTAATATTGATAATAATATAACATTTTTGTAAATAACTTTTTCATTATGTAATTCAGCTTTGTAATTTTTTTTCAATAAACCAATCAATCAATCAATCAGCAAAGGAGGATGGTATAAGGGGGTGTCAAGCTTATGATGCTGGTTTATGTTGTGGTAAGATTTTTTTAATATTTAAATAATCTTTTTCATCGAACAATAATTTCTGTTCTACTAAAGTTTGTTAACAGATGCTTATTTAAAATCAATGTTGAAATAATTTGTTTATAGAAAATTGACCATATGAAATTAACTTGCATTTTACAAATCGTTTTAGTCTTACCTTATAGACTTACTGGGGACAATATTAAAATTTGTTTTGACTACTCTACCCAACTTGGATCAACTACCATTATGGGCGAGGTTACAAGAAGCCATCCAGGCCAAATTGCACAAGGGAGACACAAGTTATACTCTTTCAAGGTGTTTCATGTACTTAAAAATAATAAATTAGATTACCATTTTGACTTTTTAATTGTTGTTAAGGCTACTCCATATGATGAAAACATTGATTTTGCCTTTTTTTACATTTTATCGATTTATATCGAGGGGCTAGAGATCTTTCCATTTCCGCAGACATTTTTTGAAAACATTAAAATGCAACCGAGATATAACCGAAAATATTATAGTCTAATTTTTTACCCCCGAGAAAGTTTTAATTGTGATTGACAGTTTGTGGATAAGTTTGACCACAGGGTGCATGTTACACATCTGTGACGGTATTCAACATTGAGCGGCTTGTTTGTTTTAGATATAGCTATATCACTGTAATATTGTTGTTACACGTTCACAACACAGTGAAATTTGCTTTCTAAGTAAAATGCCGGTTTAAAAAGTGATCAATCCTATATAACTATATAAAGTGCGCTTGCTTATCACCTTATCAAAATGAAACCCAGCCAAAACACACTTTAAAAGTCGAACTTGATTGGCTTCAGTTTGAAGTGATGACAGGGGGCGGAGAAACATAACAGAGAACAGAAAATCTCCGCGAAATCACTTTTTGTCTTTTACAGAGAAGGAATTATCAGCCCGGTTGTCCTCACGAAACGAGTTATGGAACGGGCACGTTTTATTCAATTGCTACCAACCTTTACCACAATGTAGAACAACATCAGAGGAGCAAAACCGTGTTCGCATTTTTCTTTTAGTGCTTTAGTTTTCAAATTATAGGCTTCCGTTCTATCATTATTGCAAATTTTTGATGAGTCAACTTATCTGCTTTATATCTCAGCAAATATAATACCTGTCATAAAACGCGAACACGGTTTTGTTCTTTGATCATTTAACATGAGAAATGTGATATTTCGGAAGCTTCTGAGTTTAATCGAATGGTTCTAAAGCTTGTCGCGCGAAGTGCGTCATATTTTCAAAAGCAGTTCGTAGCAACCATAGTTTTTAAAAATGTATAATTTTTGTTAAAGTAGTAGCAGCGGCAATGATTTATCGTTGTGAGTGCCAAATTTGAGGGGGGGGGGGAACTTAAAAATTTAGTGCGCGGCGAGCATTTTCCTGAAATGGACTTTCATCATGTGGAGTAACCTTAATAGAAAAATAATCAAAAATAAAAAAAAAATAATAATCAAAAATAAATAATGTTATAACGTGTTTAGTATTTTTTCCACAAGTGAGCATAACAAATCCCACAAGTTGATTGAATGGCAGCTAGCCATTTTTTTTATGTGGAAGTTGCTGACAAGGAAGTAAGTGAAATTGAAATAATTTCAGTCCCCCCAAAAAACACAAAAGACTTGTGTAAAAATACTAAAATAATTGTTTGCTTCAGGCTCGGTAATTATTGGCAAATATTCCCTGATAATCACCTCGCCTTTGGCGAATAATTGTTAAATATTATACATTTGGTATGATTTATTTTGACTTGATTATTTTTGTTAGTATTGGTTGGCTATTGCTATTTGTAATTTCAGTTGAATTCTTGACATTGTATTATATTACCTTTTCAGTTTGACCTAAGATTTTTGATCATTGAGAACAAATTTCATATGGACTAAACATCATGCTATGGCTATACTGCTGATTTTAAAACATATTGCCATTTTTAAACGTTCTCATACATCCAAATGCAGCAGCCACTGCATGTGATAAGATATGAATAATTTTGATGTACAACAATCAATAGGTTTTAAGATGGTTGTCTCTGTTATGCAATGTAAAAATAGATGGCAAATTTCAACGTGCTTTTGGTATAAGTTAGAATACTTTAGACACATTTGCTGCTCTGAACATTGAAGTAAGTATGAGGTTGTAATGCTGCATATGTATTATCATGATTCAATGACATATGTGAAGCTGAATCAATAAAAACATTACTGTCAGGGTTAACAATGTGTGAAATACTGCATGTATTCTGTTTATATTGAAAATAAAAATTTGTTTCCTAGCTTAAAAGGAAGGTGTTGCAGGAGTACATAAAGATCCAAAGTCAGAATCCAAACATCTATTTGAAATATGTTAATAATAATTTATTGAACTCTCCCCAACAGGGCTTTTTGGAGCCAATTAAGGTGGCTCCCTACAGTTTTAGGTCTGTCATGGAAATTTTGTCCACACGCAAGATTAGTAGTGCTACACCCAACACACATGGTCGTCGACGTTGGCAGTTTTTTTAAATTGTGGTTCCAATGAATATATTTATTCCGCCAAAACATCATGATATACATGTGCGGGCCTTCGTGGAATTGTCGGCTGGTCGCGCAAGGAAGTTGAAATCCTGATTTTTGTGACATCACATAGGTAAAAAAAGACATGCATTTTTCTTGTGCTTCCTTCGGTAAAATTTTTAAAAACTTCACACACTTTCCTATAATCTTGAAGTGTGTAAAATGTCCAAGTTTTAAGAAAATGGTATGAGTCGAATTTTATTTATTCCAAAAACAGGGCCTTTTGAGGATTAAACTTCTCGTACAATTTTTTTAATGCTATCATTTGAAGGAATTATAGATAAGATTATTGTGCACAAAAAATTAAAAAGTTTTACTGAAGAACTTTTAATGTTACTTTTAATGTTCTCTGGAAGTTTGTTCCATAAGGACACAGCACAATAATTCAAAGAACTTGAGTTCCGTATACAATATCTAACAAATGTCAACATTCTCAGTGTTGACTTGCATATTCCGACAGGACAAAAATATTGACATCGCAATTTAAGATAATATGTACAGAATAGTTCATTTAATGAACCTTATGCATAATGATGTCACGAGAAATGCTGGTCTTGCTAGTAATCGCCCAGGAAAATTAAACAATTCAAAACAGACACTATCGAAATTTTCCCGGATGATGACTAACATTCCTCATGGGCATCAAGCCTTATGATGTCATTATGCATGGACAAAGTGAAAAATATTTCCAGCAAAGGCCCTTCTTGTCAGCCATCAGGAAAGTAAATGGTCATTTGTAAACT